CATTGTGTTTAACGATTAACGTGCTAGTGAAAATTGGCGCCGCGAGCTCCCCTTAGGTCCAATCAGAGCTAAACGGTAGGAGAAAGTGCTAACAGGATGCCTTAGACTTGGTTTGACTTCCATCATCCTTCTCGTGCCTGGCCAGTGCTAGATTGCGGCTCCAATGAGAGTCCCAAGCCCTCCACGCAATGAAACAATGAATCAAGAATGTAGTTCTAGGCAGCCTGCAATAGTGCCAGCCCCAAGGAAATAAGCCATAGCGTTAAATGCACCAAGGCCGCAGTGTCGTACACTAGACATTGAGAGTCGTTCAGGTAATCGGCCGTTGATCTAAGTGCAAGCAGGTTGAAGGAAGCTCAGTGCAACTATTGCAAGCATGTTAGCGCTGATATTACATCTGGTTCAAAATCTGTGGCAAGAGCACATACCGAGATTGTCCTCAGTATTACATGATTCACTTGTACAGTCTGTGACAGCTTCAAAGAAAGGACCGCACAAGCAGTCATCATCCGTGTTCGGGTCGCATTCTGCTTCCTCCACTGCTTCGTTCCAACAATCCATCTACGCTTTGTTAGCTCTGTGGAACGCGTGCATATATTTCTTGATGATTTACGGGGCATTGTCCCACAGCAGCCACATTCACACCAACATCTTCATCGTACTGCCGCACGAGATGTAGGGATGTGGCCGGTGAAGCCCGCACCAGAGTCTGTGATGTTGCCCCTAAGATCCCCACGAGTACCGAGCAAGTAATACGCATGTTTGATCTCATTTGAGTATTGTCAACGTTAATATATGTGAGTTGTCGGAAAGTAAACCGAAATGCGCAATGAATGAGAATGGGAAAATATGCACCGGCTATGAGATCAGCGCTGGAATGAAGCGTCTTTCACTCCTTAGAGGCCTTTGCCCTATATATTGGTCAAACAATACAGAAGAGACACGCATGTATGGTGTCTGATATTCGGCCTAGTGCTGATGTTCATGCGTGTCGTGTTTCGCGCGGCAGCCGCACCATCTGTTACAAATGCCGATGAAACGATCCCCAGATGAGGGCAATCCAGGATCTTGAGATTTTGGTATGAAGTGAAGTAAACCAAGAAAGACATTTGTAGACAATGAAAGCTGTGTTGATCTTGTGGTAGTGGTTCAAGAGAGGCCAGTGTGGCACAGCAAGATCTTCGACGAATATATTGTACTACCAACAGTCCAAACATGTTCAATACGACGGATCAGGAATACACCAAGTCGCTTGGTTCCGCTTTGATACATTCCAAGGTACTGCGCATCACCATTCTCTGCCTATTCCGAGTGAGCTGTTGTGCGCCTCCAATTTTCAATGGGACAACAGCCAGGCATGACACGGTACCTGGTTTAGTCAACAAATCAATGCGCATTTGAATGCTAGATATGCGTTTTGAAGCCATTGTATTGAGACCTGGTGAAGGTTTTGTCTTTGATTCTTCGATGTTTCTGTGCTTAAGGCATATAGTTTCAAAAATATGAGTATGGGACGCGTCAAAACCCTGGTTGATAGGCATTTTCTGTTAGTCTGCAACACAGAAGCAAGTCTATGGCCATCCTAGACGATATGGACCATTTCTTTCCTACTTTGGTTAGATGTTTCACAGTCGCCGATCAAATCGAGCCAAATCCTGTATCCGAGGATTTCAAATCATTGGATTCCCATTACTGACCAAAGGCTTCTGGTTGCGTTCTAGAATGCGCGTTAATTGTAAGTATGAAGCTGGCCATACAGTAGAGTCCGACTCGTGGGTCATCGGCTTTAATCATCCAAAGACTTTTTGGAAATCTATAGTTAGGGAGTCGATATGAGCGTTCAACCATTATTCAAGTCATGAAGATTTCTCGCTGGTCTGTCGTCTGATAAATGTCGTGTAAGTGATGCTTAAAACAGCGCCTTGCTTAGCTTATGTTGCCTATGGTGTACATGTCATTTTGACATACAGCTATGACTAGCTGCAAGCATAATAACGTCTTTCGAATAATCGTCAAAATGCTTTAAGAGATCCCTCACCAAAGTATCTGAGTCTGATGAGCTAAGTTCCCCGAAGACAAGAATTGGTACATTTGTTCCGAATATATGGTATTCATGCTAGCTGGTCCAAAGTTGTCTATTAATTCAATTTACACATTTCAAGTTGATAGACATGGCATTGATGTAGTATCCACAACATTTAAGTATCCTGTGATTGTGTGATGGCCGAAATTCTGCGCATTAATGTACCAAGCTAGAGTTGTTACCATGGCTATTGCCGCTGTTGATAGGTGTCGCTGTGTACCCTGCTGAGCAAAGCACGTCGTATCTGTCCTTTTCATGGATGACGCCGAAATTGGTCGCATCCGTCACTGGCCGCGACTCTGCGTATAAGGAGCAGTATGTGCCCAGTGGAATAGCATTCTTTGTCAAGATGAAACTGTTGAAGTAATTACAAGGCCGGTACTTGCCATTGGCGTTGCCGAGGTGGGTCTTGTGGAACTCGGTCTGGGCCTGACAAGCAGCAGCACAAAGAAATGGATCGTACGGGTTTTGGTTGAAGAGCTTCATGCCATTGTATGATTCGAGCCCTGTTGCGGTGTTGGTGCCGTTACGCTGCACTGGAGCAGAAATGGCACCAACAAGGTATTGAGGGATGCCAAAACCTCCAATTGAAGGACGCCTGGTTTTGCAGGCGGCCTCTTCTACCTTGGAGTAGCCTTTATGGAGTTAGTCAAGCTAATGCAGAATGAGGATATTTTGCATACCATTGCTTCCAGTGATAACCACTGCAAAATCCCCGAAAAACTGGCCTTTGTTGGTAGCTGATCCTTCAGCAACAGGATATCCATAAATGACACACTTGACGTTGGTCACAACCCCGGACCAGTCGCATCTAGGATCCATTTCCGGGTCACGTTGGAAGTAGATGTTGAAACCAAGGCAAAAGCTTTCGCTATCGCACCAGTCGGCGCACCAAGACACATCGTATTCTCCCCTTGGATTAATTTTGAATCCAAGGTACCCGATTTGCTCATTGGCTGCTATGAGATCTGTAAAGACCTTCTCATAACCAGGGGGTGTTCCCGCGTCTCGGGCTGAGCGTCGAAGGGCACTTTCGCTATAATAGTAGTCGTTAACAGTACCGCGTATACCGGGCACAGGTCCAGCCCTAAAGATGTCATCAGCAGTCATTCATTTGAGTGGCGAGCTGATTGTTGTACTTGCCCTCCAGGCTTTGCTTTACAGCTGATTCTTTTCTGAAGTCGAAGACCAGGGCTGGAAATGGAACTAGCCACCAAGGCTGTGGCAGCTGCTTGGTCGTATGTTACTGTGGCCGGAATGACTTCGGTGAGCGCAGGGCCTAGGTTGGCAGTTGGGATAGAGACAGCCAAGGCAGCGGATATGTCGAACCCCTGTGCCAAAACTACCACAATGCTACAGGCAGAGGACGCAATGATAGATGTTATACGCATTGTACAAAATCTTGATAGCTAATAGATGGAGAATGGGTGGTGGGTGATTCGGTGGCACTTTGTCAACTATTATCAAAGGTGATGAGGAGAAGGAGCGAACCTGGACATAATTAATAAAAAACAGCAACACTGAGATGTTGTATCCAATATATGGAAACATGGGCTCGGATTCAATGTTACTGCTAGCTTTCCTTAACAGAGTAAGTCTCTAGCACTGCGTATTTTTCTGGTCTTCTAGTGATTGTCGCATGGGAGCATCGGCAGTGGTGGGTGAGGTAGCCACCATACACTCTACTGTGGAAGTGGCTACCGGCGGTATTCACTGTAGTTTTCCTGCTTTACTAGCATGGCTGGTACATAAAGCCAGAGATTGCATATGCTGAGTCTGTCAGTTCATCATTCTACATTCTGCATCTCATGCTCATAATGCAATGAGGCGTTGGAGTACCCCACGACATTTGCAGACACATAGCCGAATTATGGAATGTGAAGTACAGATACGTCCTCAATCTGGAGCCGCACACTTATCTCAAGGAGTTCAGATTGGAGCACAACTTCCAATCACCAAAAAATCAAGTTCACTTCTCTCATACATCATCTCTAAGCATTGAAAGGTCTTCGAAACCTTGGTACATGATTGCGTGATCAAGAGCACTAAATGAATTCCAGCAGGCTGCAGAAGAGCGACGATGAGCGGGGCTAGCAGAAAAGGCGACCGTTTATGGATACTTGGTAGATCTAATTAGCTTACCCAGAATGTCCCAGCCAATGGCTTCTTAAGGTCTCCATTTTCGTCGGAAAGTTCAGCGAATTGTTTTAGCCGGAATTGTTACCACGACCAACGTATGACGCAAAACCCAATCTGCGTTGAACTGCATACTAGATATCAACCTGGACATA